TGATCTTCTCCCACCTTTTTAATACTTTTTCACTTCAAATATACAATATTGTTGTAGTGAGTTTATGTTCCTGGCTAAAGATTTCCCTTTCTACCTTTTTTATATGGCTTAAGGTGATCTCTCCCTCACTGCAACCAAGACGACCTTTAAGCTGTATGCAAATCAGTGAGCACTGACATTAGAAAAGCTGTTCAAGTATGATCTTCTTCCCTTATATGCTATCCATCTCAAGTATTAAAATAAAGTGCTTTACAACTTGAAGGTTGCATTAGAGAGCAGAAGCAATGGTTATGTGTGGAGTGCTGCTGAAAGGTAATAACTTTACATATTATGCTATTATGTTGTTTAGCAGGCATTGAGGGCTTATTGTGGGGGCCTTGTCTTGTAAATTATAGATGGGAATATGAAAAAGTTTCAGTCAAATTATTTATTTTGCTTAAATCACTGGGTTTATGTACTGCAACTCTAATAATAATATCCTTCTTCATATAATTGTCAATCTGAGTCTGATCACATCCTGCATTGACATTCTCAGTCACATGAGGAAGAGTTGCTCTTCACTAATGCCCAGGCATCAGATTGTGTGCTGTCAGCTGCATTTTTTGACCCTATTCACTGATGTCTTTCCCATAGATCTACATGCAGATGGCCCTTCAGTCACTGTTCCTATATGAAAGACTAGCCAGTGGAACTGTCTTTATGACTGAAGCTCCTGCCATCTGTGCACCAATAATGAACCCTCTTTCACTGTGACTGAGATCTTTTCCTTTCACTGTCTTTATAAGAAATCAGAAAGTCCCAACAAAACACTTTTACTACAAAAAGACATTAAAAATCAAACCATAGTCTGTGGAGCCCAAATATCAGTCATAACCTTCTCAAAGTTTATTCCCTTTTTTGGCAATTTCTCAATTATTTTCTTTTTCTTCTAACGTAGGTGCGCTCAAATGAGTCAGTAGAGAGCGATGATTTGCAGAGTGCGCTCGGCTTTCTGTCCAACCCGAAGCGCTTCAACGTGGCTGTCACTCGTCCCAAAGCCCTGCTCTTAATTGTTGGAAACCCCCACATTCTCATTAGGGTAAGTGACAAAACCCTTGAATTGATCCTATTATTATTATTATTATTATTATTATTGTATGTATTTTTGTTGATAACAGCATGTTATACGTCCAGACTATGACTTGATTTCTTTCCAGGATCCATGCTTCAGGGCTCTGCTGCAGTACTGTTTCATCAACGGGGCATATCTGGGCTGCGACCCCCCGCCCTCCCTAAGAGACTCTCAGATGTATGTAAACTGATCTGCCATCAGTCTTTATTCATAACAAATAGGTTAACCAGGTTCCAGACAGGATCTGTACATAAGACACATATAATCAAAGTAATTTGGATTGAAAACTTAAATAAATAAAATAAATAAATAAATAAATATATTATACAGATGACAGTAGAGATACCAACTAATCTGCTTGTTTTTAGGCTTAGAAGGAACATTTCCAACACAAGGATTTATTTAGCACTTTTTATATAACTGAGAGACCAACCAGATGATTACCAAGAACATTAACAGTCTGGCTTTAATGTGCGTTTGGCCAATAAATTAACCCAACTTTTTTTTTCCTCCCACAGTGTTGCAGAGGAGCAAATAAGTGCATAAGAGAGGACAATGTAGTCATGGATGGTGTGCCTCAGTTCCCTCAACCTGACTTATCTTATCTTATCATGTTCTAAGTTTTTTTTTTTTTTTCCCCTTTACATTTCCTTGCCTTGTCTCTCTTTTGACTGTTTGCAATGTGAGCAGTAGCTGTCTTTATCGGTGTAACAGAAATGGTTTAAAAAAGGAAAATGTCTTGTTTCTGTGAAAGCTGAATGCAGTTCCACTCTAGAGTAAAAATAAAGATGACGCTTGCATACACTGCACAATTATTTTTATTTCATGTGATTATTAGGCTGATGTGCTTGACTGTGCATAAGACTTGACTTGACTGT